TTCGGGAGAAATAACTCACCCTCGATAGATGAATTGATCACACTGCACAGGTTGCGTTGGCTTGGCGACGTGCTGCGTATGCCAATCGACCGACTTCCTCGAAGGGCTCTTTTCGCCCAACCATGTGAAGGGTGGAAGAGAGCCAGAGGCGGTGAAAGAATGACTTGGCAGCGAAGTGTGAAAGCCATTACCAGCAAACTCAGCTGCGGTGGTCACTGCGGTCTTCCTGGATGGGGACCCCGAGACGGGCCACATCAATGGCTAGAGACATTGTCAGATATGGCCCAGTCGCTCCCTCGATGGCGCTCGTGCATCCAAGCTATTTCCTTCAATGCGTAGCTCCTTTCCCAACCCCAACCCCCCACTTGACATCCCACTGTACCTATCCCCCCCCAAAAAAAAAACATTGGTGAACGAAACTGCGGCGGCTACAACGTACGTACGACGAGTACGCGGTTATTACAGCTGACAATGATGAAGATGATGATGATATCCATTCAAGAACTTCAAGGAAGCACTGAGCAAGTGGAGGAAAATAGTTGCGTGTGCATCGAGTAACCCCAAGTGCAGCGCTATTTTGTGTTATCACTGGCTGCACCAACACCGTGGCAGGTGGTCCCCAAAACCAAGTGAGATTTGAAGGATCCAATAAGACTAGCAAACGGAGCGCAATTTTCGAATGAGGTGCCGCTTACCTGGTCAATCATAAAGTATACCATTCAGTCACCTCCTAACAAACTTGAAGTAACTAAATTTTTGTTCTGCCGCTTGCCTGTCATCCGGAGACTAAATAGAGACACTTTGTGTGCTTGCAACGCCTAAATGAATTACTGTTTCACTCGTCGCAGCTTGTTGTCGTCTTCGTCTTAAAAGCGTCCACACATCTATAGCTACATACAGACACACATACAGATACACCCTGTTAGGTAAGTCTTCAAGAGCTGATGTCTGATTCGATAGACGACATGGTAGTGATTATGACGAACTTTCGTTGGATCCGACCAAAGTTAGCGCTGGAATCACGAAGAGACTGAACCTTACCGTAATGTGACGGCTTGTGTACTTCCGCGACCCACTGAGTTATATTAAGGGGTGTCCGCACAACATACACAGAGCCTCTGATGCCAGATTCGTCAGTGGCTAGATTTGTTAGGAACACAGTATTCTGATCCTCCAGGCTGGAGGTTGGAACATGTGTGGCGGCGTGCTCCGTAAAAATGGTGATTTACTCTGATTTCCCACCAAACGGCGCTGCCTTGTGGTCAGGCTTTTGAGTAAAAGGCTTTTGTTGAGGACCATAATCATTCTGTTGTCTATTTGTGGGCGCTCTGGCAGTATTCTAGCCCACGTACAACCATAAACTGCAGTTATACGAACAAACTCACGCCACCCACGCTGTATCATGGTTGTGCGACAACAAGTCATCAGTGTTGAACACTAATGTTATGCTGTCCATGATGATGGCATTGATAACGACAGTGAGAATAACAGAATCAGGTGGATTTTATCACTCTAAAATACAATTCGTCAGAAAGCAAGATTCACACACGGAAGCATTCGGAAGCATTTGCGGAGAAAATCTTTAGCCAGTATATGTGCCTTGGACCACAAAAACATCTGCGATTTAATTAGATTTTCTCAACTTTTTTCAGTAAGCTGAAGTATACTTCATTACGGCTTGATTCTCAGCTTTGGCTGTTAGCTGACTCTCAAACATTTTATGGTCCAAGCAGACAAACCACCCCGCGATATAGTAGAAAAACACCTATAATAGATAAAGGGAAGTACTCACAAGATTGCTGAAAACTCTTCGACAGCCCACGACCGGTTTTGCCCTTCTTGGGGCTCATCAGGTAGGCGCAGTCCCCGAGTTTCCGTCAGCCTTATGTTATACTTAAGCCCAAATTAGACTTTTCAAGAAGTACACTCATTTCCAAATCAATTTTGTTTTCACGAGAGACTCAACTGAATCTCTCGTTTATGTTATTCTACAACTGAATGTGCTGCACACAAGCCGCCTACCTGATGAGCCCCAGTATGGGCCAAACCGGTCATGGGTTGTCGAAGAGTTTTCAGCAACGTTGGGAGTATTTTTTTATGAAAATATACTGCGATATCTCCAATATCGTTCCAAATAAAACGTGAGACGGCCTGTGTGCAGTACATTCAGTTGTAGAATATCATAAACGGGAGATTCAGTTGAGTCTCTCGTGAAAACAAAGTTGATTTGCAAATGCGTGTATTTCTCGAAAACTTTTAATAGATGTTTCACAAAAAATAATCTTCAAGCTGGCGTATCCTACTAGGTTGAAGCTTCAATCAATCGTGACCATAAGGCGCAACTCAATCGAGCCCTTTGAAGAAGCGCGCCTTTAAACAAATATTCGGCACTAGCGGACGCTCCCTGGCGTCACGGTGCAACAATGAATTTCGTTAGACTGGGGGAACCTTTTTCACAGTACGGATTGCATTTGAGTATCACTCCCCATTTGGACCTTCAACTGCTGTTCCACGTTCACCAAGCACAAGTAGGCGATGTTGCGAGATTGCACAGTCTGACCATCGGTGGCTGCGACCGATGTTGACTTGAATGTCTTGTGAATAGGATCTTAGAATCATTATTCACAGCCTTATCCTAGTGGTGAAGCGGAAGTTCCTCACTCGTCCCCGAGAGAACGAGAGTAGAAACAGTGAAGCTGCCAAGAGCTCAACTTAGCACGACCAACGTCGACCTCCTGGACGTCGCATAGACCAGGGACAAACAAGTCCACAAATACCTACAGAATTCTCCCGTTTGGCGCAATACTACATACAGGGAACTCCTTTTGCTTTTAGAATGCTTGAATAGTCCCAATAAATGTTTAGCAGACCAGGTAAAAACGCCATCAAACGTTTGTGACTCTGTTCGCAGCGGCGGTCATGAAAATTATCAACAGTTTGCAACTCTTGCTGACTCTTGTTAGTATATTAGTGACCGATTTTGTAAGTGCGAAAGTCCTTCATAGCCTCCTTAATTCTGGGCTAGCACATAAGCTAAGAGGCACAATAAGCAGACTGCTGACGGATTTGCTGGTCTCAGCCACAGAATATCGGATAAAAGTAGAGCAAACGAGCGCCGTAAAGTAGTCAGCCGGTCATTTTTAACTTACTTTTGATGGGTCTGGACTGATATTAAGCTGCATTTTAGATCTTCATCTGTCATGCCAGCTAACTTTTTATTTGTTTATAATGTTCACCAACATAGGCGGTTCGCCAGGAAATTATTCACCCTTGTGTTCATAAATATACCGAAGCGATCGCCACTCCTTCTGGAGTCCCAAACACCAAAGTAAAAACCCTTCAGTGGGACAAACATTCCCGGCGTAGGTAAAAACCAGTACTATATACCAAAGGGCATCATTCTCCACTGCTCCGCTGCTCCCACCTTGATTGAGAATATACGAGAAAGAGCCAAACCGTCAAATTAAGGAATAGTTAGTTTTTGATCGTTCCACATTCAAATCGCTCCGCACCAAATCGTGGCTTCAATTGTTCCACAGATCAGGAGAGTGATCAAGGGAACGTTTAGAAGCCTTGTACACAACCAGTTGATTTGTCTGCTCTGACTGATTATTAGTATTAGTGAAAAAGAAAGATTGAGGCTCACGATTCGGTGGTAACCTCTAAAGGTTGAATAAATGGAGAGTTCTCCTCACGCCTCCAACAAAACTGAATAAACGAGTACATGATGAGTTACCTCTATTGCCGCACTTTGGCCGTATATTTGGAGACACGTGAGGTCTGGTGTCCGGATATTTTAGGATGGAAGTAAAAACGCCACGCCAAAATGGCTTTTCTATTAGCCTGTGTCATACTAAATTTAAACAAAGCCATTTAGCTTAGTCAGCAGCCACAAACTTTTGAATGGCTTGCTCAGAGCATATCACAATATCTTGTTCCTCACAAGCAGCATCACCGTCCGCTGCAACCCTGCTCGTGAGCACCTCGTAAACCCTGAGGTTCATTGAAGTAGGTCTTATTGTGCAACCTTCTACGTTTTGCTTCTTGCACCGAGTTGTCAGATGTCTGGGACACCGATTAAACCAAACTATGTCATATGTCTACATAGTCAAGGCACATAATCCGGAGAAGTTCCTCAGGTTTATGAGGCTTGCGTGCTGTCACAGAAGATCTTTGAAGAATTTCGCCTACATAGCTGCACATTTGTAATCAGTCCTCAGAAACGCACACTGTTTGTTTGAGAAGAACAATGTGAGGACGTTTTTTTACTGGCTATGCTTGCTACCCAGTCTAGCCCCAAAATACGTCGGAACGAACCGGACCTTTGGTATTAGACGTTTGTGCTAGTGGCACAGTACTCTAAAGAAGAGTTCAGAAGCAAAGAATATGTGATCGCCTTCAGATCCATAAAAGAGTTCAAATATAATTATGACATTGCGTCGAACAATATGCTTACACCTCTACGTTTCCTGGATTTCCTCAGATTTCGTCTACCTGGAGGGTATTTAGTCGTTCAAACAGACCATCACACGCTTTGTTGACAGAAAACTTCCGAGGCGTAGACCCCTTCCCCAGTTGCTGGAAATCCTCCGAGAGGATGACTTAAATGTATTGAGAAGCCAGAAGAACAAAGCAGCAATCTTGGGATGCTTTGCAGAGAGAGAGAGAGAGAGAGGTCATACAACAATGCCTTGCGTGCAGGGCCAAATAGGCAACTTCCATACGCACTGACTCTATGGACACTGAAACACTCCTGAATGTGCGGTAAATCTACCCAAAACTGAAGGTTAGCTATGATATTATGAGAGAACTAACCTATTAACCAGGGGAAGAGTGCCACGAGCCGTGAATCAAAAGGCCTCTGATCACTGTAGGACCACTATTTAATCAGTCTCGACTTCACGACAGCTCCCAATTCACTTGCTTACTCTTCCCGTGTACTTCTTGATCTACACTCGTTCTGCTCCTCCTTACCCACCACTCACCTTGCAGCAAGAGCCGATTCGCATGTGTGTGTCGCTGAACTGCCTTCCTATTCGTGTTTGTTTCCCGCTTTCTGAACCTCCTGTGACTCGTTCTGCTGCGATTTTTGTGTGATTTTATCACTAGTCAGAGTCACGACACTGGCATCGGAAAGGATTACCGCAACCAACACCACCAGGCCAACATTCTGCTTGTCGTTGTCTGCAGACAGCAACACTACGCCGGTCGCTGAAAAAAACTGCGCATCTGACGCCACGGACGTAAACAAAAGGTTTGTTACGCAATTTCACTTGCCTTCGTATAACCAGTACCGTAGAATTTCAAAGCCAGTTCGTGCTTTTGACATTCAGGACCATCAGACCTACGCGCGGTCCAAAGCGCATCGGGAACCCCAATGATTTCTTCCACAAACAGCTTAGTCTACCTTATTTGAACTTCACTTAGCTTATTTTTGACCTGGACTGCTTAGGAGTACAGTGATCATCCATGTAGTACACGTAGCAATAAAACGTCGTGTAGTCTTGATACGGTCCTTATTATTTGAGCTTTATTCTAACAAATCGCCAGGTTTACTCTTGACATTACTAATCACGATGGTTACAACTTTCTCATAATTTCATTTGGTGGTTTTCTTGTCCAGTCGGCAGAATGGGGCGTTGTCTTATTTCGAGAAAGCTCACATGAGGTGAGACAGTGCCGAAATCTGACCGGTGTGTGACGAATATCCTCACTTAGTTGAATTATTTACCCTTACTACCCACTCCAACTCAAGGCATACTTCTACCGCTTTTAATAAGACGATCTTGTAATGCTGCAGTAAGAGTTCAATAATGTATGATATCATCCAGTGAAATCTGTCGACCTTACTATGGTAAGTGTCGTAAGTGAAAACTTAAGCGATTATACCATTACAGTCTCACTTGGCAATTTGTGGGATAAGTTCAGATCGCAGTTTTTCTAACTAATAAAATTTTCCATATTGGCGACTCATTTCATGATTTCATTGGTAACATCACGCGAAATAGTCTCCATGGTTTAGAACCCCACTTTTTGCTTAAATGACAATGGGGTCACTGTGAAAAGTAGGTGTGAAACTTGTGTGTACGCGAATTCTCCGAATAGATGCCATCATTTAATTGATGTGCTGTTGGAATTCTAGAAGAAATATCTGTTATCACAAAGGCGCATTTTATTGATCGTGTATGGCCTACCATTTTTAGTACATTACTCTGGATACGAAAAGGGATCTGCCTATATATGAACCGTCTCGCTTTTTAAAATTAAGCTTTTATCCAATTGTTGACCGATGTGCTCCGTGTTTGGTCCTTCGCAATATATCTAACAATGAATTTGTCACTTACTCTCATTTGCACACGATTTCACTCTCGATAGGAGATTTGACTGGATCCCACTGAATCAAGAAGGGCAAAACCGGTCGTGGACTGTCAGTGTTTTAGCCATCTTATGAGTAGTGTGTTACATCTAGAAAAGCCATAAAACATATTTTTTTGTGTCTCACGCATGTTGTGACATGAAACCATCTTGTGCATTACTGAAAAAGCCGAATTGTCAACTCGTTAAAACACAACTCAGAAGTAAACCTGCTCACAGCTAACTGAACAGTTTGTGTTGCAGGCCGAACCAAGACCACAGTCGACCGACACGGGCTTGTCACCAAACAAGCTGCCACAACATACCGGATACAACTTTTAGAGAAAGCAGAAGATACGAAATATATTCAATTTTTGGGGCATGTTACTATGGNTTTACACGACGCCTTACGTAAATCCTAAAAACTGCCCAACAAACGCTCAATGCTGAAGAGTGATATTGGCCACCGTGTGCTAATAGATATAGACAGCAGTGTCAACAGTAAGCGGATCAGCTCCGAACACAGCTCTCTCACACCGCGTTCACAACTGGCTGGTTATCTACATTCTATTGTGATTTTGAAAAGGCACTACAGTTATTTAGATTATGTAAGATTTCGTCCTGTCAGTTGGGCCAGTCTATGCTAGGAAGCTGTTTGGTATCGCACGAAACTCACAGTTTTGAACCTTCGACCTCCCGGACAGTGGCCATGAGCAGCTGATCAGCACTGTGATTAGCTCTCAATTGAACATTAAGTTAGGCCATTCATCTTCATTCAAGGTAAACACAACACGCTGTCTCGTATTGACTGACTTCTCGAGTGGCGACTTCTCAGAAGGAAGTTCCACTCTTCTTTTGAATGCAACCATTCGGGAGCATCTAAGTTCGACGAGCGTTTCGAACATTTAGAGAGACAGGACGAGTGCATGTAGTACCTCAAACAACTAAATTTTCCCTCTGATAAACGCTTTTTCAATAAAACAAACATCGCTACTTATATTTGCAGCGTTCGTTCACTGCAACGCCGCGAAATTTCTGCTGCCACAACATTGAATTTATTTTCATTTTCCATAGTAATGGCATAAATTACGTTCAGTTACTCTCTATCAAAGTTATTTACTGCTAAATATCGACGGAGAACCGATCGTTCAACAGTTGTTGTGGTCGAACAAAATCTGGATTAAGCCACCCAAAACACATGCCCCTACAACGAGTCTAAAGCCCATTGCTTTCATTAGATTAGCCTATATTGACTGAACTCGCTTCAGGAGCATTACAAAGGTATATTAGCAACGTGACTATCTGGACTTCTAGTGGCTGCATCGATACGAGCTAGTACAGGGCTTAATTGATGTGATGATGATCGAATCTTGCGACCCTCGGATTCTCCGTTGGTAGCCAAGTTGTACAACACACTGCTTTTGTGGCCCCGTATTTGACTTCAAACCGTGAGACAAAAACAATCGATTGCAAACTATCTTTAGGCATCACATTTTATTGTTTTGTTAATGCTGTTTTATGTACATACTACCTATTACAGATTCGAGACCTCGTAAACACCATCCAGGGCGAGAAGGCCCAAGTGGTTAGAGCGCGATTTTACCGATCGAAAAGTTCGTGGTTCGAACCCGACCTCTGCCACTCGATTCCCCTGTCTAGGCTTGGGCAACCTGGCAGTATCCCAGCCCTCGTGCAGCCTTCGGGTGGCATGGCAGTCAGGCACCGGAAAGGTGCTGTAGCTGAGCGATCTGATAATTAATATGCAGGATTGAGATATAAGATGATAAAGTTCACTAACCATCGGTAGCATGTTTGAACCACTTAAAGTCATGTAGTTTCAGGTGATGGTCCTTTCGAGGGTACCGATCGGTGGCGTGTAGAAAAATTATCAGTTTGCTTAGTGTTACAATTGTAATCAGTTGGGGACACTCTTTGTCCTAGACTTGGGTTTTTAAGGAGTGGTTTGAATTGTTAGCATTTATTTCCACAGTTCCACAAAACCGTTTCAGTTCACATGTTTCGTAAGTGAGAAAGGGCCAAAATGATACCAAACATTTTCGGCACCTCCAGGGAGTTACTATCGAAACTGAAGATTTACAATATGCATATATCTGAACAAATATGTCAGCCTGGCCTGGTTGTGTAACTAATGCCCTGTGCTGCGGGGGTATTTTGACACATGGCGTGTGTGAGTTTACTGACACGAACACCAAGAAATCCAAAACTCAAAAAGGCCATCTGGTGAGCTTATCTGTCGTTCTCAGGATAACAAAAGGTGTCTACAGAGTTCAGTGCGTGGAATATCATTACACAAGTTACTTCATAAGTCGACTGAATAAAGCCACGGGCGCTACCAACTTCTTCATCTCCCTGGGCTGTTTTTTAACGCTATCAAACCTATGCTTACGTAGGGAAATCGGGGCATGAATTTAAGATATTGTAATACCGATCGTAATCAATATTTCAATCCAAGTTTGTTTATGCTGCTTCTCAACCAGCGCTTTTTGAGTAGGAAGAACGGGCAGCACGGTAATTGGTGGTGCGCTGACCTGTTTGTGAGAATGATGTACAACGTACTCTTTATGTGGAATCTCAGAAGAAGGTTCAATTAGCATAAAAAAAACACCGAAATTTATCTACTTGACTCCATCGTCAAAGGATGACAAAATTACCTGAGCAACTACGCACTGCGTTTGGATTTGATTTCATCCCGTAGCCGGAGAAAAAAGTTGTTTCTGGATGGAGGTTATGTAAAGCAAAAAGCTTTGGATGTAGTAAAATGAGTCTACTTTCTCACCTTTCTGTGCGCTACAGGAGGGCGGGTGGCAACAGGCGAAATTTCATGTAGCACCAAAATTATTCAACTAACTTTGAGCTACTAACTAGAAATAAGTAACTCAACTGTAACCGCTTAGCTTAGAGCTGACCTCGTTCGCTTCGGTGTCCGTTGTGGTGATGCCGCCCAAAATACCGTACAGAAAGGAGGGGTCATTCTGACGAATTTTCGACAGTTTCTCCGTCGTTCTGGACCTAAAAGACCCTGATTAGAAACTCGTATTCATCTGCGATGCACGGGATCCTGGAGACTTTCGTTACGGAGTTACTCAATAGGGCCGTTGATTACGCTTTTGGGAGTTGAAGTCGTGATCCCTATGCAGGCTAGACCTAATAGAGAATTGTGGTGATAATTGGATCCACCCTCTCAAACTGCTTGTAAAATAAGTGGGTTTCCTACTCAGGCTTTCCTGTTTTCGGGAAGGTGAGATGGTTAGTGCTTTGTGGATGGCTTGGGTAAACATGAAGCCTTAGATAATGTTTATCTCAGAAACACCGAATAACTGTGGTTCGAGGACCTTATTTTACCAAGCAGCCTTGCAAACCTGATAGGAAAGCAACTATATAAATTACAACTGGTATATTATCAACTATTCAATAACAGCCATTGAATGTTACTTGACGGTTTGATGACTTTCATTTTTATTTACCCATTCCTCCTCAGTGCTTGTCGACCGGCACATGCTTCGTCCAGAAAATGCCTTCCTACGCGCCATTCACAATACCGCTGTGGCCATTCCATCCCACTTTTGCATGAGAGGGTAAGTGTGTGTGTGTGTGTCGTTCCACCTACTTACCCATCCGCGTCAGTGAGTTGTCTGCTCAGCCAGCTCTGGTTTGTTCTGTCGTGACGTACGGGTTAGTCACATTGCGAATCCGAATTGAGACGTTGGGCTTGGAAGGAAGCCAAGAGCCACAATTCCGCTCGGAGTTTGAGTGGTGGCGGACTAGTGCACTTGTTTAGGCCACGAACCTAAGCAGCAGATTCTTCGTGAACTTTTACCGACATGTGAAAGTCACGCCGGAGATTTTCGGACCCACTTCCTCTTTCTGACTTTCGGGAGCCCAAATCAAGGTCCTGTATCCGGAGTTCAACAACAACCTCAGCATAATGTAAACCGAAATTCATTCACCAACTGCAGTTCCATCCCTTGAGGAAGTTCTCTTTCCCCAAGTGGTCTACTGGCATCATGTTTGTCCGTGGCCACTACCAACCTGTGGCCTCTTATCGCAGTTGGTAGATGGGCAGTCACAGCTGCTCGTGCATTTCACAATTTCAGTTCAATCCATTTAGAAACGAATGCGTATGAGAACTAGAAGTGGAGAAACTGTTGCTAGTATCGCGAACTGCCAGATACGCGTATCTCCCACAGGGCTCCTAGTACTTCTGAACACAGATGCAAATACCAGTCCACTGGATAATGAAACCTCAAGAAGCAGGTGTTACTTCAAGTTCATAGTTAAGGCTGGTGTCAGAAGCAACGTGACTCATGGAAGACGTTTGAGAAACGAAGGATTTATTTATTTTGGCTTTGATGCTTCTCAAAGCGGAACCAACAGAAGGAATGAAATCTGTTTGTTTTGAACTTTGACAACTTTGCCCACGACACCCTTGTCGAATTCGCCATCATATTTCAAGATGCAACCCATGTCAATACCGGTGACACCACATGCCTTAAGGTAACTGCCGATTTTTTATATAGTTGCAGCCTATTCCTCAGGCCTAGGTAAAAGGTAATTCCACTGCTGACTGAAAGGTCATTGGTTATATATATATATATATATATATATATATATATATATATATATATATAAAGACAGACAAAAGAACATAAAA